GGTGTTGTCATCCACAATGAGAAGGATGCCTATCAACTCAATTATCTGGTACAATGACTATGATATTACTGGTGTATTTGAAAGGACGAAAGATATTGCTCAGTTTAGAGAGGACAAGCCAAGTGTAAACGAAAGAGTAATTGTTTAATTGGCTTGCATGAATAAAGAAATTTCTTGTTTGAAGTTACTATTTGAATGCTATTATTTGGTGTAAATTACTCTGTTTCTACACTTGGTTGACCAGATACGTCGTATGTTTGTTCGTCATCTATGTTCTACGATACAATGACATTAGCGTATTACCGTTCATGTTTGAGGATATAGCTGATAGGAGGAGGTCAGCAAATGAACTCTGCGACGATTTTCCAACCCAGGGCGTCAACCTGAGAAGGGTTGTAGGCGTACTGCTGTAAGTCCTACAATGTTTCAAAGGGTAGCGCATCAGTGAGCAGTCCAATGTGTTTGGTGTGCGATTTTGTACATATGTTCATGTTGTGTATACTGAATTGATATCATCTGTCATCTAGCTGTTAGTAATTCTGTTTGTGTCCGGACGACTTCCACTTGTATCATCAACCTGAGAAGGAATGTGGGCGTACTGCTGTAAGTCCTACAGTTCTTCAAGGGTAGTTTGTCATGCCGGAATCCACAACATTTGATGTATTGATTTACATATGTTTGTGTTAAATAGTTGTGTGGGTTCCAATTATTGTAATTGTTGGTTAATCTTGCTTATGTCCGGACATTCCACAACTTACAATCATCAGCGTGAGAAGGGTTGCAGGCGTACTGGTGTAAGTCCTGCAGTTATTCAAGGGAGTTCCACCAAGACATGATCGGCGAGGTTATTTGTACTGTTTGTGTATACGAGTTGTTTGCCTTCTCAATTTGTGATTTTGGATTAATTGTGTTTACTGGTTGTTTTCGTATCTTGGTTTTATTACATATTTTTGTTAAAATTTTCGTCGTGATTACTTCTGAAGTTGTTTCGAGTCTTCTACATCCGTGAATGAATTGATTGATGTTAAGGACAGCAGATGGGTCGTATACGCCGTGGAGGCTAGGCTATTGCTGAGAATGAAATGCACACGGGGATAATTGTTAGCTGCGGCCCCACACGCCGGGGAGAAAGAGTGTAAACGACTGAGGCTCGCATACATCATCGTTACTAGAATTGAGGCAGAATGAGTGACAAGCGATTGCAGTGGTAATTGGTAGTGAGTAGATAAGAGGATGTGCGAAGAGTATCACGAGGTGCTGCTATGGTCACGTTGTATTCTGAAAGAGTCATTCTAGCAAGTGACGATTGTGCTGCAAGAGGATGCCTTTAACTGGATGGCGCAGGTCGTCATTGATGTGTGGGATTGTGCTGTGAGTATGCTTGTGGTGTGTTGGCTTTTCTGTTTGTTTTCCATTTCAGCTCTGTCCGTGTGACCCAGGTTCTCGCAATGGCATCGAAGTCAACGTGTATTGGTCGTGATGGAAAAAAGGGTTGGATCCCATTTTGCCGGGGAGTGTCAATGGAGTTGAAGATTGAACGATCAATTCATGGTTGTTTGCTCAAAACCAACTTCCCCGATTTTCGCGGAGGCATCAATACGACAGTTATCGTCTCATCGGTCGCTGTTCAGAAAGAAGAGTAAAACACCGTTAGGAGTAATATTGTGATTTATTATTGTAATATTTGTTCACAGACCTTAGTCATACGTGATTTATATGTTGGTGTAACAATAAAGAATCCTCGATTCAACAACTGGTGTTTTGGTTTTTTCATCCGTTATTACTAAGGGTTTCTGAGAAACTTCAAGTGACAGCGTGAGCCCGAGCGTAGCAAGCGCTGGGCATTAACGGTTTACGAGACGTGGCTGACAAAAGGCCTAAACTCTTAATCTGTTAATAAATGATTTGGACGTTTTCTCAAAATCACTGTAAACCTAAGGGCGGAAACAGAGACACCTACGTATATAGGTGCCCGTGCCGAACAAACCGAATGAAAGCAATCCATTCAACAGGAATTTATTTAGAGTTGCAGGGTTGGAAAGAGACCGAATAGTATTATTGAAGGTTTCTAGCGGATGGCTGACCGAGCAGGCACATCAAACTGAAGCAGAGGTACGCTGCACGATTACCAGCGGTTTATTGGATAAATGAACTGTGATGGATAGTTTGATCGACTTGGAAAATTCAGAGGTTAATATCACTGTATAATTCTGGCTATTTATCGACATCACTAACGGAGGGTCTGACTGCTAGATATTAACCATATATTTGTTAGACGGAAAAATCCTCAGACGTGAAAAAGCAGCTATCTTCCTTGAGAAGAGAACAGCCCGATGTCACATACAGATGATGGTATAGTTCGAATGTGACGTATCTCGGCTGCACATCCGGCAACTTTCTGCACAGAAACTAAACAAAGAAGTGTCGGTGCGTAATAATCAGTGCCTCCAACACCCATTCAATATGCCCGTAAAATTGGAGGGAGAAATTACCAGATAACTCTTTTGACCAGAAGCTTATAGTATCTCCACATATATGATCACGTAATATGGTTCACACAACTCTTCTCCTTGGACTTATTTTAGCGTCGCGGTGAGGACATCAAATTAATGATATCTTTTTACATCCAGGGGAAGTTAACACTGTTTTAAAGGTTGACGGTATAGACGTTCGCGAACAGTACTGAGTATATTAACGCAAGATCTTATACCAATAACTTCTATATTATTTGATTCTCATGTACCAAAGGCAAAGCAAAAGACCACAATTGATTTCCAAATTACGGGACATATTTCGGAACCAAATCGTAGATTGAAGCGGAAGCTAAGCTTGCTTGTTGTCGTGCACGGAAGTGACACGACGGAGCGACAAATGGCGGGGATGCTTGACGGGAAGCCCTCAGCAAAACAAGTTGACTTAAACTCTAAGGGTCAGCATCCAATGTTCACTAATGATTCTTATGGTCACGATGTAATTTTTCTCTTAGACATAATCTATTCCTATGGTCAACAATTTGAGGGAATTATTTACCGCTACAGCTCACTGTCACCCCAGTGTGGTTGTGAGGACCCTAAGACAACACCAGCCGGAAGTAAAAAAGGTTGATGGTTCCCTTTCGGGTGAAAATATCCTCCGAGTGGCTTGGTGGCGTGCCTACTGGTTTTTCTGCCTATGCTAATAGGAAAACAAGAACGCTAAGAACCTTGTTGAAGAAAATGTACCAAATCGGGGTTATTTAAAAAAAATTATATGCATCTAGCCTACAGTAAAATAATGAAAAGTTTAGAATATCGAAAAAGCACACATCTAAATTTTTTCGTGCATGCAAACCGAGAATATACATTATTATTATTACCGTTATAGAAAAATTGTTTCACTTGTGTTTAGTGATGCTAAAGTTGATGTCTGAAAAGAAAGAAAAATAATTAATACCACAAACAAATGAGGTGAGTGAATAGCACCACTTAGTTATGTTCTGTGGGCCTGAAGATATTCTGGGAACCTTACGGTACGTCCAGAACGGGTTTCTTAGGGGGCTCGACAGAAGATTCGGTAGCTAGTGGCTTCTTCGAGGACTAAAAGACCTCCGGCTACTTGTGGAGTATGTGGTATGCTTAGCTCTATGCTAATCGGATTACGTTCCAAGTAAGCCGGTTTCAGATGATCAGGAGCAAGTCGTTGTGCTTTAGATGTCACAGGTTGTCCTGTGGTAATGATGTGGTGCATAACATTGCTGGTTATGCACGGTAGGTCGTTCGACAGGCAGTTAATTTCCGGATACTTGTCAACAATAGGTTGAAAAGTTGGATCAAGGATTGCCTTTATCTTAACGGGTGACAAACTAGGGCCTATGTAGCTGATGCCTTTGATAGACAGACTAGTAGTATTGTCAATCAGTCATTTCCAGCGGACGTCTACGAGTAAATCATGATGATTAAGTAGGTTCGTGCCAATGATGGGCATTGTAACGTCAGCGAGAAGGAAAATCCACCGAATAGGTTTGCGTAAACCTACGTTCAGACTGACGTATTTCCTACCAAAGGTTGCAATTGGCTTTCCATTTACAGCTTCTAAGTTGTAGGTAGGTTCCTTCTGTCGATCTGCCGCCGTAGCAAGAAGGACGCTGACTTCGGCGCCTGTGTCGACTAAGTATCGAGTCTGGCTTATCACATCATGGATGTAAAGTAGGCGGCTAGTGCTACCGGCGACGGTTGCCGCTAACGCGTGCCGGCGGGATAGTTTCCCGCAGACTTTGAGACATTTCCGAAGTTACAAGGCTTATGGCAACACTTCGCTTCTTGGCCATAGGTGTTGTGGTACCAGCACCAGTCAGGGTTTTTCAGTGAACGTGGTTTGGATATAGATCGACCACGTGAGTTCCTGCGTTGAGGAGATTTAGGACGACGGTCGGAGGATTTAGAAGGCATGTTTGACCTAAACATCTGCTGGATAGAGTTGTATAACTCTATCACTGCAGTATCCCTACTCTAAGTCTGCTTGGCCACCGAACATATTTCAGGAACAGACCGTTTAGTTATTTCTAGAATCTACCGCTACACTGTCTGTAACTCTTAAATTACTGTTGCTTTGTTTTTTTTGATGGTAGTTGAGACTCGACGTAACACTTTATCTTTGTGTAATACCCGTTATTCCACAAGAATCACTTACACTTCTGGACTGTCATAGTAAATTGTGAGCTTTCCGAAAACCGTATAAATAAGCGCAAAAAGAGAGTAACATATACGGAGACTTCCATCCTCATTAACAAATTCGAATCTCAAAGTGAATATATATGTATAGGCGAAAAGCACCAAGTTCACCGGTCACGTGAAAGTATATAATAATATCTTAGCTTCTGAAGTCACAAATGCTGTTGATTCGATCTACGGAGCATTGGACATCGGAAGTGCAGCCGCATTTAACAAAAGATTTAAGGTCAAGTGCTGGCAAGTGACGTATCATTGTAATTGGGATCAGCATTTCATCAGCAGCTTGTCAGAATGGATCTTTCTGGAAAACTAATCATTAAGGCCCAACTTGGGCATGATTTGCGTCGCATCCCGATACATAATGAAGAGATAACGTATGACGAACTGATTTTGATGATGCAACGTGTCTTCAAACAGTACATAACTAAGGAAGACGAGTTACTGGTGAAATATAAAGATGAAGGTAGGTTTTGTAAAACCCAGAATCACTTCTTAGATGATGATTACATCACAATTGGAGACGAATCTGATTTATCTCTTGCCATTCAGTCAAGCAAAGTTCTACAAATTAAAATTTTCGGTACGTTTCTTCCGCTTAAGTACTGTCGTTAAAAGTTATTTATTACTATATGAAACTAATACGTCTTGTACAGAAACGTAGTTACTAGGTATTCAAGTGTTCAGTTCCCAAGCTTACTGTATACAGTAATATAATGCTGAATTAAATCTCTGTACTTCTGAAATAAGTCTAACATTCTATAGTGAGTAAATTCTGAATCTCGTCTAAAACGGATTCTTTAATGGCATAGACTAGAACATAGTGCTGATTCTCAGTATGATCGGCACTGATTCAGCACCATGTTCTGATTCTAGACATTTTTCAGGAGTAGATCAGAACCTACTGTTTGCTTATCAGCGTTTTTCCAGCCCTCACAGGATATATTAAGGACGGACTATTGTTACTCCAAAACGGAAAGACTTAATTCGGCACCCAGCTTTCTTTTTAAGTATGTCCAGCGTTATTTCAGAACATAGTGGGTACATAAAATATTCATTTACCATAAAAATGCATTATCGAAGAATAGGTTAGAATAAGTTTAGAATTGTTGTAAGCTTGGGATTCAGTGGGCTTTACGAAAGTGTGAAATCCTAGGAATAGTATCCCTGAATTAGAAGTATTATCTGAAGGACTACAACCTGATGCGATTGTTATCACTCATGTCTAGGTACATATCTATAAGCGCAGACAGAATAATCAGAAAAGTGATGGGATTGCCTTGTACATTAGAGATTGCATAGGAATTAGGTCGACCTTGTCAGAAGGGCATGTTAGCGAGATTAGGGAAGCCGCAAGCTGCGTCATTAACTAATAGTAGGTGAATTTAATGCTTCACATATTAATTGGGAGGAAGTAACATCAACTACTTCTTACATTTGTTTGAACAGGGAACTCATACTGACAGTGCTTGAATTTGCACTTGTGCAGAATATACATGCACCAACATGATTCCACTCTGAACATGATCCGTCTACTCTGGACTTGGTGCCAACACACCATAGTGAGGATGCTGGTCACATTAGGCGTCTTCTGCCGCTAGGCAGTAGTAACCATGTAGTTATCACTTTTATGTTTAAAATTCACGCTGTCATACATAGGTCAACAGCTGCTCGTCTCAATATTTGGAAGGCGAATATACCTGCAATTTGAAACGCAATAAGCCTGGCTGACTGGTCAGTTGATACAAATCAGACTGTCAAGGAAGCTTGAGTAGAATTTTGGAATACACTAGATTGCGTCACTGCACCTTTTGTACCTTGGTCTGTGCTTCGAAAACTATCGTGTAAACCATCTTGGATTATACACATTGGATCATAGGAGTTAATAAGAAGACAATTGCAGCAAAGAAAATTTTCTTTTCGACGAAGTCATCGTCTAGGCTGTACATTCGTGTATTTATATCAAATGGATAGGAAAGTTCCAGAATAATATCCGGTCAAGGGTCAAATTAATAAAAATTAAAATTAGGAATTAGAATGCCATAATAAACAGGGGGATGGATAAAACAAACAAAGTAGCATTATGATAACTAAGGAGATTGACATTGTGCAATTAGGGGTTAGAAATGTAGAAATAACAAAATAGACAGGATGTTTGGATAAAAACTAATGTGGTGAATAATTGTTTATGCAATCAGGGATTGAATATGTATAAGTAGTAAAATGACAAAATAAACACGAAGTTCGGGTATGAAAATATGGTAGTGTGTAAACCCAAAGGTGAGTAAAAACCACTGGATCTCCACCGCCTCATCCGAACTGATAGACGCTAGAAGACTTATTCCGGCGAGCTCCGAATTCAATGAGGAGCGAAAGCTGCACAAGAGGAAACTTACGAAAAGTCTCCGCAAGGACCGTGAACAGTGGTGGGCGACAAAAGCCAAAGAGATGGAGAAAGCTTTGAGGATAGGCAACACCAGGCAACTCTTTGGACTCATCAGGCAAACGGGTGGGAGAAGACAAATCATCAGTGAGACAATCTCGGAAAAAAGTGGCACTATAATTAGCTCCCAGGATAGACGACTGGATCGTTGGAAAGGGCATTATGAGGAGCAGTTTAATTTGCCCACAGCCACGCTCAACCTTCCGAGCATCCAACACCTCCCTGAATGGGATATAGACACAGGTCCTCCATCCCTAACTGAGGTTACTAAAGCTGTCACCAATCTGAAACTAGGCAAAGCAGCGGGACCTGATGGAATGACGCCAGAGGTATTTAAGTACGGTGGAGACAGTTTACTGTCTGCATTAACTGAGGTACTAGGCAGCGTCTGGGAATCAGAAGAAGTCCCATCGGGTTGGTGTAAGTCACTGATTATCCCCATATACAAGAAGGGAGACAAGTCTTCCTGTGATAATCACAGAGGAATTAGCTTGACTAATATAGTATCTAAAGTCTTAGGCTCAATAATCATGCGTAGACTGAGTGGTGCTCGGGAAGCACAAACACGAGAGAGCCAGGCAGGCTTTAGACCAGGAAGAGGGTGTATTGATCATATCTTCACTCTCCGACAGATTCTAGAACATAGGCATTCCTACCGGCGTCCAACAGTCATTATATTTCTTGACCTAAAGGCAGCATTCGACTCTGTCGATCGGGAAGTTCTCTGGAGATGCTTGGCTGTAAATGGAATTCCAGACAGATAACTAACCTTCGTAAGGGAACTAATCGAGTAAGGTGAACATCTATCTGTATGATACTCTCTGGATCCTAGCCCAGCAAACTAATGAGTAATCATTTGTTGTACTAATCCTCAACGTAACATCTATTTCTAGTTGAAAAGAGAGGTACTGAGACCTAGTAAAATAACAGGAAGATTCTTTGGCAGTTCTCTTTTACTTCTCGAATGCATATGCTATGATATATAACACTTTATTGTGAGTAGCATGGTGTATTTTGAGCATGTACAAACTATAAACAGAAGGATTTTCCGACTTTATCTTAAAAATTGGGATATCGAAGTTGAGTTCAAACTTCATAATATCTGTAGTTTTTGTATGTGTGTACATTAAGTTAGTCAAACAAAAATACAATTGGTTATGGTTATTTTATATCAAGTAAAAATTGGTAAGTTTTGGGTGGAGTTACGTAATACAGAAACTTTCAAGAAATTTGGGTATTAATGGAACTAGTTCAGTAACAAAGTTGATGTGTTGTCACAAACAGTTGTAAAAAATGAGTTACCTAATAACATGAATAGTTTGATGATTGAGTTGTACTCAGGATGCACACAGGAACAAAACAGAGAATACGAAGTTACTCAAGAGTTCTGGATAAATACAAGAATTATAAGCAACTTAAGAAACAGGTATCTCTGAAGCTCTGGCTTTTCACTTAGGAAAACCGGAGCTATTCATACAAAAGAAAATTACTCGATCACTTCTACTACCATAGTGACTTAATTTTTTTTGTTTACTTGTTTCTATAATTGCCTATAATTCTTGTATTCATCCAGAACTCTTGTGTAATTTTGTATTCTCTACTCTGTTCCTATGTGCATCCTGTGTACAACTCAATCATCAAACTATTCATGTTATTAGGTAACTCATTTTTTACAACTGTTTGTGACAACTCATCACCTTTGTTACTGAACTAGTTCCATTAATACCCAAATTTCTTGAAAGTTTCTGTATCACGTAACTCCACCCAAAACTTACCAATTTTCACCTGTTTAGTTAAAATATCTGTAGTTCTCAATTAAAAGTTTTAAAGAGTAGCACCTACCTTCAGAAACGGGTTAGATATGTGCTTGCGTGTACCGAGATATTCGTCCGAACCAATGCATAAAACATGCGCAAAAAATTAGAAATTAAATCTAAATAATTCAACTTACCCACTTTTCAATCAAAGTTTAAATTAAAGCTAATCATAGTAGTCGTAGTCGGTTAAGAATATAAAATTCTGGTTTGGGGACTGAGAAATATCTATGGCAATGGATCTGTGTCACTTAAATAGATACATTCCCTGTTTTTATATAAATGATATATCACTATTCAATATTTTCTTTTAGATTTTCGGAAAATCGAACTTATTTCCACTGGCAATTATGTTGGTTTGATAATCTGTAGTAACCAGTAATACATTCACCTAAAATATGTTACTAAACTAGTTGTGTAGAAGTCGAGCCTTCTAAAAGCATAATTTTATTGACTCTTGAACATCTTTTCTTGAAAACTCAATATTCTAGCCTAAATGCTATTTTTTACATCGAAGGGTGTGAATACTGTAAGGGAAATCTCTGAAACCACCTAGACAACAAATTTCGTCAGGTATCTACTCGTCGTCTACTCATATCGTGTGGTTATCCACTACCTTCTAATCTTATCGTTTCAAACTCAAACTCTTGAGAACCCTAGTGTTTTCCTAATATCAGTCAGTCAGTGAAAGTAGTATTCTTTAAACATCAAAAATTCTAAACTTCATGACTTCATCGGTTTTTTCAGTTGGTGACAGTAGCACTACTAGATTTGCCTTGTTTTACAAACTAGAAGTGTTGTTATCCCACCTAATATCCTTTTAACTACATATTTTTTCTATTTATTTTGTTTTCCAGCGAAAAGTTATAGTTGTCTAACATTTCATGTCAGATCATGAAGTACTATAGTATAATTAACATATTAAAACTCATATCTAAACTAGATTATAAGGTTATCAGTTCAAAAGCTTCTTTTGGGGTATCTTTCTTTCTTTCTTTCTTTCTTTCTCTCTCTCTCTCTCTCTCTCTCTATATATATATATATATATATATATATATATATATATTATTTATTATTGTATCCTTTAGTTCCTAGAGGAACATAGGGCTTCAGCTGCGCACCTCCATTGACTTCGGTTTTCTGACAACTTTTTCACCCTGCTCCAGGTCTGTCCACATGCTTTCATCTCCTCCTCGCATGACCTCCTCCAAGTCACCCTTGGACGACCAACTCGCCGCCTCCCTTTCGGGTTCCACTCGAGGGCTTGTCTAGTGATGTCACTTGATGGTTTCCTCAGCGTATGGCCAATCCATCTCCATTTCTTTC